AGACAGTGAGATTGGCACAGAATAGAGCACGGTTTAGGGCTGTTATACATAGGGCTGCTATGAGTCGCAGGCAACTCTACAGCACATAACACCACCACCACCACAATATTATTTCATCTTTACCATTGTGTATTGGTTAGAAGGAAATGATAGATGCTGCCAGACACAAAGAGAAGAAGTTACAAAAAGGTGTGGATACAGATGGAAGTCTCTGAAACGGTCTTAGTATTTTGTCTACCACAACAACACTCTCTTGCGTTCCTGCTTAGGACCAGTAGTTCCTCAGTACCGGTGGTTTGGGGCCTACCTGTCTTTGTCTTTTAATAGACGGTTGGATGGGGCACCTGCTCCTGGCACTGGTGATGAGCCTGTGGTTACGACAGCAACTCCACAGCGCCCTCCAGAGGCAGACAGGAGATGTGCAGGTGCCGAGGACACCATATTGGGTTTGACCCCAACTGGCCTTTCCAAAGAACTGAGCTTCTCTTGTGAATGAAAAGTGTTATTTTACCTTCCACCCGAAACAACACAAGACAAAGCAAATTCAGTTGCCATCAAGTCCCAGGGGACTTCTGGCTGGACGCAAACTTTCAACCGTCTCTTCCATCTGTGCAGAGTACACCTTGTGCTGGCATCCCTGTGAGATGGATTCTGTCATGCCTTCATTTTAACAGAAGAGGAAACTAGAGTCCAGGGAAGGGCCTTACCCAATACCCCAGAGCCAGGAACTCTGGTCTTTATATCTCCGGGTTTGGGGTTGGGTGTTTTTTTGTTTTTTGTTTTTTTATAATGGTGAGCCTTTCTTTCACTCTTAACTTGAATTTATTTCAAAGGAAACATGAAAAGCAGACATGTACAATTCCTTCTTACAAGCCTTAAAAGCAAGACTTTCAAAAAGGAGTTGGTAATTCCAAAGACCTACCTGACACTGGAACAGGGGTTGGGGCACCTTGGCCTGTGGAGAAGTTACATGCTGGCTTGGCTGCCTGGTAAGCTGTCCGCCCACCCAGCACCTCAGTCAGTGTTTCAGTTATGACAGCAACGTTTGGATGTCTTACTTTTCCACCTGGTGATATACCCTGCACGGAATTTCACTGCAAACCCAAAGACAGCAGATGGGCTGTCTGATGGGCTGAACCCTCTTTCTAGTCTCATGAGAAAGGTGTGTGATTTCCAGCCTCCACAAACCTGCTAGAGGCCCAGCTCTGGGTCTGTTCTGACTTGACGGCAATGAACATTTTTTTTTAAAGGGTGGACCATTGTGTCCTCTCAGCTTCCCACAGCAGCGCGTGTCAATGATTAACCGGATTGTTTCCTCTAGAGCACGCAGAGGAAATGACATTGACAACTTTGTGGTCAGATGGCAGGGCCAGTCCCCCTGTGGGAATAGGGCCCCCAGCTTTCTTGGAGGTTGGTATTCCGGGGAACTGCATTCCAGGTCCCCAGCTCCCTTCCTAGTGTGACCCCATCTCCACAGTAGGCAGGCTTAACCTGGTGATCTTCATGGTCTCTACCTCTAGACCTGCCTGTGCTCAGGAAGCCTGTGAGGCACCAGGAGGGCCTGCTCCACTCTCCTGCTCCAAGTATTGGGGTTTTGGAGTAAAAAGAGGCTGCTCTCCTGGTTGTCCATGTGAGCACTGTCATGGACTCCTGTGGGCTGCTCTCAGCTGGTGCAAATCCTCTGGCGGTGGGGGGAGAAGCAAGTTCCATGCCAGGGAGGACCCTGCATAAGCCAGGATGACCTCCAGTGATGACTTGGGTAGTGAGACCAGCCAACATATTGCAGAGGCTTCCCCTGGTCAGGTCCTGTGTTCAGAGGGCACATCTCGTCCTGGACATATCTCATGCCAAATCAAAACCAGGCCCCAGGGCTTCCCTCTTCCCTCCCCGCCCATCACCAACTCTTATTGTCTCTCAGACGCCCCACCTACTTGTGTCCCATCTGGTCCAGGTGCTGCCCCCTCCTACTTTGGCATCTGCCTCACCTTCCACGTGGGTCTCCCTGCTTCCCTCTCAGCGTCACAGTCCCGCCTCCACACCGAGGCCAGGAGTCGTGTGGCTCCATGAAGAGCATCCCGTTCACAGCTTCCACAGCCCTTAGGATGACACCCAGACTTCTAGGCCTGGCCAATCAATCCTGCTTGAGCCAGTCTCTGCTTCTTCTCACCTTTGCTCTGCACCCAGAGATCAATCCAGAGCATGGCTGCTGTTACCCCACCAAGACAGGTCCTGTCTTGCCCCAGGGCCTTCACATAACCTGTTCCCGCAACTGGAAGCACTGTTTATCCTTCCCTCACTCTTGTCTGGCTAACTCACTATTTTTCCAGGCACATTTCCTCCAGAGAGTTTACTCAGATGATGTAGACTAGATCTGGGCCCTCGCTATGTGCTCTTCTGTCCCCTGGGTTAGCCCCTGTGGCCTTAGTCATGTGGCATGATAATTACTCAGTTAGTATTTTGTTTTCCTGGAAGATGGTCGCACCCTGCGTCTGTTCTGTGAACTCTAATAGCCCAGGCCAACAGTAAGCGTTTCATAATATTTGTTCAATGACTGTGTGGCAAAACAGAGCTGAGAAGACATTCACCCAAGGCAGAGGCCACTGGAACTCTGGCTGCCCACCCAGTGCAGACCACAGGACACCTCCTCGCCCTGACCTGGCCCTCACCATCAGGTCGGCCTGAGAGAGCTCAAGCATCAACAGAAGGTGCTCCCTGGCCCCCGCAGTCTCTGTGGCTCCTCATCCTACTATCAGTTTTCTGTACTCTCTGCTGACAGTCCCCCGCTCTGGGTACCTCAGGTTCCTCAGTGGTCACCCTCTCCCTGGCCTGCCTCCACTTCTGAAAAATATTTAGGGGTGTATTGGGGAGAATGGGGAAGGGTGGTTTTTCACTCAGGTATTATGAGCATACTTTCTGTAATCAATTGAATTATGTCCCCCAAAAGACACACTGAAGTTTTAACTCTCAGTACTTGTGAATGGGGCCTTGTTTGGAAACAGGATCTTTGGAGATGTTATTAGTTAACTTGAGGTCATTCTGGAGTAGTTGTGGTTCTGGGTCATCGAGTCAGAACCAACTCATAGCTGAGCCTCCAGTGACTTTTCAGAGGCAGTAGACTGCATGGGAGGAGATTGCCAATTCTTCTGCCTCAGAGCAGCTGGTGGATTTGAACCACATGCCTTTGAGACTGCAGCATAGCTTTTTACTACTAGGGCTCTCCTATTGGAGTAGAATGAGCCTTAATCCCATATGATCAGCAACCAAACTCATGTTGATTCTGATTCCTGGTAACCCGCTGTCATGTTTCCATATATCTTAGCAGAAACAGATGGCCTCATTTTTCTCTCTTGGGCTAGCTGGTGGATCTGAACTGTCAACCTTTTAGTTAACAGCCCAACATGTAAACCACTGCACCATCAGTGTCTGGATGAAAAGAGGAAAGGAGACCCAGAGATGCACAAGGAAGATGACATGAAGACAGAGGCAGAACTTAAGAGAGGAACACAAGCTAAGGAATGCTGGGGGTGTCAGAAAGTGGGACAGGCCAGAAAGCATGCTGCCCTAGGGCCTGGAGAGAGGGTGGCACTGCTGACACCCTCAACTCAGGATCCTCGTCGCCAGAATGGTGACAAGAAGTTTCTGTTGTTTTAAGGCATCCAGTTTGTTTTGTTAAAGCGACTAGGGGAAACTAATACACCTTCTAAAACAAAAACCTAGAACCAACACTCATGTAAGAATTTTCACTTGGCTCATTTGGGATTATCTAGGAGCTTAGCTCAAGGATGGAAACTGGCATTTCTAGGATATATGATGCATTACATGCAAGTTATAGGAAAATAAGCCCATCCCATTGACTCCAGCAAGATATGACTCCTATGTCAGCTGTCCCACCTCACCTCAGTGGTTCTAACTGCCACTCCACAGGGGCCAACCATTTTTTTTTTAAAGATTTTTTTTTTAAATTTTATTATTTTTGTGTGCGTGTACTGTCAAATCAGATCTGACTGGTACAGGAGGAGATTGTCCCTCCTTCCCTGGCAGAGCATCTGGTGGATTCGAACCGTTCGCCTCTGGGATTGTAGTTGGGGCCAACCATTTTTGTGCCCTCAGTATTGCCCCACCCCACCCCAGCTTGGGGATCCTTGGCCACTTAGCCTGCTCCCTGCAGGTAATTTGCAGAGATGTCCCTGCTCAGAGAGGAGAGGAACCTTTCCAAAGAGTTCCTTAGGGAGGGGGAGCAAGAAGGAGCAGGGCAGGGCCAGAGACCCTGGGGATCAGGGCGGGTCACTTTGCCTCCACCTCAGGCCCTGTCCCCTGGGTCTCTGCAGCTTTCAGTTTGGAGAATGGAAGATACGAGGTCTGAGCCATGGCGACTGTAGGCCCATTGCAAGCCGGAGGGGGGAAGAAGTGGCTCCTGCAAAGCCATCCTGCACCCTAGCCCCCTCGACCTCCACCCCAGCCAGTTTCCTGACAGCTAGGGAAGTGTGTCAGGAAGTGTGAAGATGGTGCAGGATAGAACAGAGTTCAGATCTTTTGTTCATAGGGTTGCTATGAGTTGTACTCGACTCATGGCACCTAACAATAACAAGAACTGGTTGGCAAGTGTGCCCCTTGTGGCCCTAACCTGCTCTCCTACAACCTTTTGAGATTAAAAAAAAAAAAAAAAGAACAACTGGTCTTATTTCTTAAAGACAAAAATGCTTTTTGGTTTTAATACACAAAGTAAATGAGGTCCTTGGCAAGCTCCTGTTCCACCTTGTGGTCCAGCCCCTCCAGCAGTCACGGGCTGAGGTCTCGGGTGGTCATGGATGAAGGAGCTGAGCCAGCCTCCTGGTGCTTCAGCAGCTTCTCAGGGTCAGGAGTCCAGGCTGGACAGAGGAGCCAGGACAAGCCTCCCAGTCCACCCTTCAGATGGGCATTGGGAGCTGGTCACATTCCGATGTGTCTGTCCTCTCTTCTGCTGTTGGACAAGAGGTGTCTGGGTCCCAGCGGGCCGGCTGTCAGTTCACCGTGGGCACCTGGCTGTGGTGCAGGCTGAACTCTTTGGCCTTGAGACGGAGACTGGCGATGCTGTTGGCCATGTTGACCCCTGGGGTAGGAGGACCGGAGCCTCCAGGGCTGTAGGGTGGCACCGTGCTGGGGGTGACAGGGAACATAAAAAGCCATGGGTGTGGCTGGCATACTGAGCAGAGAGGACCACAGCCTCAGGTCCTCCTGCCTTCATTCCCTCAGCTCATCCTCAGGGGAAGCCTTTCCTCAGGGTGGATGGCCTGGGGCTAGAGAGTCTGGGTTGGAGTCAGATGTCGCCAGGGTTGGCACGGGGACAACAGAGCCTCCCTTATTTACCTGGTGCCATTTCTCACTGGACCCTGTGCTTCTAGAGAGAGAGGACCAGACCTGGCATACACCTGCTTTTCATGATGTCTCTGTTGTTCTCCTGCTCCCAGATAACGACAGAGCAGGGAGGGGAGTGAGGAGAGCTGTTGGGCTGATGTGGGAGTCACCAGGGCTCAGGATCCATGAGATGACTCACCAGATCCCCACCTTCCCCAAGACCACAGCTCCAGGAATGCCAAGAGTGGAAGGCACCCCCTGGAATTGTGGGGTGTGGCGGTGACAACCTGACCGCCTGAGCACCTCTTCCTTCTTCCTTCCTACTTGCCACTTTGGGGGCTTTTCCCAGCTTGATCCAGACAAGAAATGTCCCAGAACCTGACTCTGGGCCCCAGAACCCAGCCAAAGATGTGATGGGAAGGAAAAGCCAGCCCCTCAGACTTATTGGCCCGAAGGACTAGTCCAGGTGCCAGCGTTCCTGTGCCAGCCTAGAATTCTTCCTGGAGGTTTTTCACTTTGTTAGTTTCCCTCCACAGGAGAGGATGGGTCTCATCTTCTCTGTACACACAAATTTACACATGCATGCCTAGGTGCACACACATCCACAACATGCACAAAAGCCTACGCACATGTGAAAGACACTTGTACACACACACACACACACACACACACACACACACACACACACGCCACGATGGACCCAGGTCCAAAGGGCATCTGGATACAGACCCCAAGTGACCCCTTGGAGTTCCCTAGCCGAGCCATCCCAACCTGAGAGGGTTCCCGCTCTCACCTGTAGGGAGACGAGGCTGTCCAGGACAGGTAATCTGGACTCAGGGTGGTGGGTCGGGGGGCCACAGGCTGCTCAATGGCTGCCTCCTGGCTGTAGGACTTGAGGAGTGAGGCTGAACGGTTGGCCAGCATGGCCCGCTCGTTGCGGCGAAATTTGGCACGACGGTTCTGGAACCAAACCTGGGACAGGAGAGTGTGGTGAGCAGAGGGCAGGGGGCTGAGAAAGGGGTTCCCCTCAGGATATGAGGGCTCTAGAGTTTTGGAGCTGCGTGTGTGCACCTGCTCTGTCACCAGCCCTGGGCTAGCAGCTTCCCCTCTCTGGAATGTAATGTTCTCAGCAAAATGAAGATTCTCACCATTGGGTCCACTGGTATTGTGATAGATGGATAAGAGATTGAGATTGTTAAATATTTCAGCTTCCTCGGTTCTATGATCAACACTCTTGGTACCAGCACTCAGGGAATCAAGAGGGGATTTGCATTAGGAAAATCTGCTGTCAGGGACCTTTCCAGAATACTGAAGAGCAACAGTGTCAGTCTAGAGACTAAGGTGTACATGACCCAAGCCATGGTCTTTGCAATTACTTGCTATGCATCAGAGAGCTAGACAATGACTAAGAAGAATTGTTGTGGTGCTGGAGAAGAGTATTGAACATACCAAGGACTGCCAAGACAACAAACCAAACAGGTCAGTCCTAGAGAGGTTGAAACCAAGCTGCTCCTGGGCAAAGATTTTGAAGCTCTGTCTCAGATACTATGGGCATGTATATTGGAAGGACCAATCTTTAGAGAAGACCAATCTTGGAAGAGTGGAGAGACAAAACAGGAGAGGAAGACTCCAGATGAGTTAGACTGACACAGTAACTGGGGTAATGAAAGTAGGTGTGTCAGGGACAGTGAGACTGACTCAGGACAGAGCAGGCTTCAGAACTATAGTGCATAGGGTCGCTATGAGTTGTAGTCGATTTGAGGACACATAACAACAACAACACATTAAACCATTGTTTATAAAAAAAGTCTAGGCGTTGTTTTAAACTGTTTACAAAAAATATTAACTCCCTTAATCCTCATAGTTGTTGGACTTGTTAAGTTCTGTAGAACTGAAACTGGCACACAGCTGACCCTCCGGCAGGATTTCAGAGGATGTAAATTGCACGAGTGATTATCCATCTTTGTCGTGTGGTGCAGCTGTGCATTAGAACCACTTGCCTTTCGGATGGCAGTGCAACGCCTTACCTTTAACACAGACGCATATACGCTTTATTTTCGGGGTGTGTGTGTGTGTGTGTGTGTGTGTGTGTGTGAATGATTCTTTCAAGGCACAGAGAAGTTAAATAATGTACTCAAGGTCGCTCAGCCAGCCAGCGGCATGGCCAGAATTTGAGGCCTCCGAAGCTCCTACCTTAAGTCACCCCGTCTGTAACACCACCTGTAGCCCCACCTGTGCACCTTCCGTGACGCGCTCACCTGCACGCGCGCCTCGCTGAGGTTGACGCGCCGGGCGAGCTCCTCGCGCACAAAGGCATCGGGATAGTGGGTGCGCTCGAACACTCGCTCCAGCGCCTGCAGCTGGCTGCTATTGAACGTGGTGCGGTTGCGCCTCTGCTTCTTCTTCCGCTTGGCGGCGCTGCCGCGCCCCGGGCTGGGACACTCACCTGCGGATCGAGGGGAGGATTAGCCGGCGGCGGGCGGCGGGCGGCGGGCGGCGGGCAGCGGGCGAGGCGCGGTGCCTGCAGCGCCCCTAGCGGCTAGGTCGCCCCAGCGTGCTGAACTGCCCACGTAGTCACAAGAAAACAGCTGCTCTGTCACCCACGCCCCCAGCAACTTACATGTATTTCCCTCTGTAAATGAGCCAGGCCCACGGACGGAATCAGATTGCTGTATGTCACGCCCTTATTCCTCTAATTGGTTCATTCATTCACTCATTTTTACTAAGTACCTACTATGTTCAATCCCAGAACATTTGATCGTGCTAATGCGAAACCTATACTTGGACCAAGAGGCAGTCCTCAGAACAGAGCAGGGAGACACTCACTGGATGGTTCGAAGTCAAGAAAGGGGTCCGTCAGGGACGTATTTTGTCTCCATACCTTTTCAATCTGTATTCAGAACAGATCATCCGAGACGCTGGGCTGTATGAGGAGGTATGTGGCATCAGGATTGGTGGAAGAATGTCAACAACCCTGCTTGCTGAAACTGAGGAGGACCTAAAGCGCTTGCTGCAGAAGGTCAAGGACTGCAGTCTTCAATACGGATTGAAGCTTCATATCAAGAAAACAAAGATTCTCACCACTGGACCAATTGGCAGCATCAGTATGGATGGTGAAGAGATTGAGATAGTTAAGTTTTAGTTTACTTGGCTCCACAGTCAACATGCTTGGTAACAGCAGCCAGAAAATCAGGAGACAAATAGCATTGGGAAAGTCAGCTGTAAGGGACCTCTCAAGAGTACTGAAGTGCAACGACTCGGGCTGGAGACTAAAGTACGCCTGATCCAGGCTATAGTCTTTGCAATTACATGCTATGCATCAGAGAGTCGGACAGTGAATAGGGATGATAGAAAGAGAATTGATGCCTTTGAGCTGTGGTGCTGGAGAAGAGTGCTGAATATACCATGGACTGCTAGGAGAACAAACGGGTTTGTCCTGGAGAGGGTGAAGCCAGAATGTTCCCTGGAGCCAAGGATTCTGAAGCTTCATCTGACATACTTTGGGCATGTTGCAAGGAGGGATTGATCCTTGGAGAGGGACATCATGTTTGGGAGAGTGGAGGGACGGCGCAGGAGAGGAAGACCCTTGATGAGATGGATCCATTCTGTGAATGGAGTGGTGGGAATGAGTGTGTTTGAGTCAGCGAGGTTGGCACAGGATAGAATGGCTTTTAGGGCTCTTTGTACATAGGGTCGCTATGAGTTGCAAATGACTCGATGGCACATAACAACAACAACCTACTATGTGGCAGGCACTGTGCTAGACCCTGGGATGCAATGGTCAGTGAGAGCAGCATCCTCTGCCCCAAAATAAGTCATTGCAGTGTGGGGTGTGGGAGGGAATGAGAGGGCGTGTGTGTGTGTGTGTGTGAGAGAGAGAGAGAGAGAGAGAGACAGAGACAGAGACAGAGACAGACAGACAAGGGGTGGTGTCAGTGGGGGATGTAGAGCGATATGGAGGGCTGGGGCTCGGGTGATGGCGGGAGGGGGAAGGGCAAACGTGTGTGGGGATGTGTGGGAGGGCAGGAGTGTGTGTAGAGCAGGTGTGTGTGTATGTGTGTGTAGGCAAGGGGGAGGAGGAGGAGTGGGAAGAGAGGAGACCCCTCAGAACAGGCAGAGCTTGAACTGAATTCTGAAGTCTGTAGAATATTTTGCTAGTCATATCAGAGGGAGAGAGGGAACATTGAGCTGAGTTTGAAGTCTTTAAGAGTTGGTCAGTCACACCAGAGGGGGCGAGGGAATGCATCCAGGTAGTGGGAAGGATTAAGCACTCGTCAAGGTGACATGGAAACTGCCAAGGGATCAATCCCACTGACCAAAGGGTCCTGGTCATCTCTTCTGTGGATTTGGCAGTTCAGGTAACAGGGACCCAGCACGATGCTGAAGAAGGCATGGGGGTCTGTGATTTTTCAATAACTTGCCACCTTCCAGGCCCCCTTCTATTCCTTGGAGGTCCAGGTAAGGGGATAGCTTATCTTCTGTTTCCTACATTTAAATCTTAGGCAGAACTACTGACCAGTCACCCTCCAAGGCCCTTGCCCGTTCCTCCTCAGAGGTCTCCCTGACTGCTTGAGCTCACACAGAACTTCCTACTCTCTGAGGCTCCTGGAACCAATGCCCTCCAATCCGGTACTTCTTTGTGCCTCTGATTTTCTTCTTTAAAGAGTAACAAAGTAGTACAACTGTTCACCACAATGACAGATGTAAACAATACAGAGGAGTAAAAGCCAAATATTCCCCACTCCTAGCCTCAGAGGGAAAAGAATGTTCATGGTTGGTAGTGGGACACTATAAACTTGATAGGATTACAAATACATGTTTAAAAATTTACACATATGTCATACATTTTGGTATTTCAATTTTCCTGGTTTTGTTTAATAATGCTTCTTATACCTTTCAATGACCTGCACAGAGAAACTCAACTCTCTTTATTGGTTGCTTTGACATATACAATTTAAAAAAAAAAATCCAGTCTACCCAACTGATAGATAATTGCATCTCCCCCTCAAACATAAAAAAAGAAACAATACTTTCTCTCCTTTCTCTATCAAAAGGTAGTATACAATGTACTATTCTGTATCTCTTAATGTATCCTTGCTTAACAATGTATCCTCCTGCTTAACAATATATCCTTGGGATCCCTCTATAACAATGTATAGAAATAATTTACATTCCTTTTCACAGCTGCATAGTACTCCACTATGTGACTGTACTATAATCTATTAATCCACAAGCATAATGATGGGCATTTGGTATTTTCCCAATATTTTGCAATTAAAATAAAGCCACCAAAAAAAGGCCTTGTGCAGACACAATTTTTTCTATTTTTGTCATTGCCTCTTTGGGGCAAATTCTCAGAAATGAGTGGCCAAACTGCCCCATCCTACACCTCCTCCAGCAGTGTCTGGGAGTGTCTGTTTTGCCTACAGTTTGGCCAACAGGCATACTGAGTATATTGTCAAACTTTTGTCACTCCACTTATTTTTATTTCCCTGCTTACTCATTCCCTGTATACACCCTACATTCTTCACACAGTGCCAAACATTTTTTCCCAGCATTTTTCACTGAGCATCTGGAATCCTGAATTTCCAGGTCTAGTGATGGGAAGCACTCAACTCCTGCTAGGTTTGCTCAGTTTACCATTTTTAGAACAATCAACTGATTTGCTTTAAGGTAAAATTGTTCCTTGAGACTGAAAAGGAGTGTGTGGGGGGGGGGGGTAGGGATCAAAAAGGGTGCCCTGAAAAGATGAACTTGAAACTGAGCTTAGACTTGTTATTTCTCAATGTAGGGGACATTTGTCATGTCTGGAGACAATTGCCCCCCCACACACACGATTATTGTGTTTGTTGTTGTGTGCCTTTGTGTCAGAACCAACCCATAACTGACTTTCCAGCAGTTTTTCAGAGGCAGTAAATCGCACAGGAGGTAACTGCCCATCCTTCTCCCTCAGCGCAGCTGGTGGCCTCAAACCGAGTGCCCTTGGGATTGCAGCACAACTTCTTCCACTAAGGCACCAGAGCTCCCTAGGGTTTATTAGGGAAGTCAAAAGGCTGTAATTCAGGTTGGTGACAGGATACAATCACTCAGTCGGCTTCTGATATGTGCTGGCAGGCACCTCAGCCTTCACCCTCATGGCTTTAGATCAGGGGAGACATTTTTGATAGTTACTACCTGAGTGGAAGGGATGTTACTGGCATCTAGTGCGCTGAGGCTAGGGATGCAGCTATGCATCTGACCACACACAGGACAGCCCTACATTAAGGAGTCATCTGGTCCAACATGTTAACAGTTCTGAGGTTGAGAAACTCTAAAATGAGACAAGGAGTTTGTCTTCTGTATTTTTCCCTTTTGAGAAATACTTCCAAACACATGTGACAAATATGGGGGAGGAGACGGCAGTGGGGAGGGGACCCGTAGGAGCTGGTCTTGTTGCTGGGACCAGCTTTACCTGTTACTCTTCACCCCTTTCCTCGGGAAAAGTGAAGATGGATGAGAATGTGGTAGTGCCTGGGAATGTCTCCCCACAGATCCCGGTGCCCAGAGCGAGCGGAAACCTTACACCAAAACAACACAGGCTGCATGCTGATAGCTGGTGGTGATCAATATCCGGGTTGGCAGATGTGGATCCCAGAAAGGCCAGCCTTGCAGAGCCCATTGCCTGCAGGCAACGCTGCCCGGGCACACACCCAAGCAGGAGGCATGTCAGCCAAAAAGGAGAATTTCTGGGGGAACTTTCTGAACAATTCGAAGCTAGGGGTGTCTAAATGAGAACCGTTTCACAGCCTGGGAGCTGGCAAGCAGGTGCCAGAAGACACACAACTCCATGCTTGAACCAGTTATGCTGAGCGGTGACTTGAAGTCGAAATCTTCACGCAAAAAGCATTTACCACCCCCACCCACTCACCCACTCAGTCAGCCCCAGGCCCCACCTCCCACACACACACCAGACAGTCTCCACAGTGGGTCTTGAGTCAGCCTCCTGCTGGACGGGAATTGCACCACAAATGCTGGTTGGTGCCAGGCATGGTGCCAAGTGCTCCACACACTGCCCCCCACTAAAGTCCTGTGCCCACCCTCCAGTTCTGTTTTACACACAGGAAAACTGAGACTCTGAGAGTCAGGCAGTGGAAATGTGAATCCATGTGGTTGGGAGGCTCAGCTACCCACCATGACCAGAAGACCCTCCTCCTTCATCCTAGGGACAAAGGCATGGGGGCTAGCCAGGTGCTCAGTGTCAGCTCAGAGATGCTGGGGGAGGGCTTTCCAGCCATAAGGCATGTTACAGACACAGAAAGGCCACACTGAGTCTATGTCAAACCATGGGATGTGCATCATTGGCCCCTCTCTGTTCTGAGGGAAGATCTCGCCAGGGGGAGCTGTCCACAGCTGGTCGAGCTCATGGTGACTTGCAGGCCACCTCGGCGAAAGCCGCCGGCAGCACAG